ATGTAATGGGAACAGCTAACATGTAGCCTTTGATCACATGCTACTACGTCAATGATTTGAATTGGCTGATGCTTAAACTTAACCTTGAACTTAAACGTTTTCTAGTGTTTGCATGTACGGCCCCCCAGTGATTTCCTGTTAGCAGCTCTTTAACGACACATTGTTTATTTGAACTTTATCTAAATTCTATAAACGGGTTAGTTGTGTAACCATGCTGCTGTGCTGCCAGTGATGCAATGCTACCAGTGAGTGTGTCCTCCTGTGGCCTAGACAAGAGACAGAGTAGGAAGTCAAGCTCTCCTCCACTCGTCTCTCTCTCACTCTCCCCGGCTGTGTTTACAATAGACATACCATGCCTCTGGCTGCTGTGCTCTAGAGTTGCAGTAAAAAGGCCTGGACTAGACTTCTATGTGTGTATACAGTATATATATGTGTGTGTGTGTGTGTGTGTGTGTGTGTGTGTGTCTGTGTGTGTGTGTGTGTGTGTGTGATTGTGAATCCAAACTTTGGGTTATGCTTATGTCTGCTGTCCCCTGGGTATTTTGGGTACCACTGACATGCTGCTCCATTATTGGATAATAAGATTAAATCAGCCACTGACTATTGGATAAGAGGAAGTTAGACACTGACACGACATTCGCTCTTCACCCTTGTCTTCTTTCATCTGGCTTCAATTGTAGCTTTCGTCTTCTTCCTCCCCATGATTGAAAGATACTTTTTAGAGAGAAGGAGAGCGGGAAGGATAGACTAATTTTTATAAACGATGAACCACTCATGCGTTTACACAGGCAGCCCAATTCTGATCTTTTTTCCACTAAATGGTCTTTTGACCAATCACATCAGATCTTTTCACATCAAATCTTTTTCAGAGCTGAGTGGATTGTTCAAAAGACCAATTAGAGAAAAAATGGATGGATTGCTGACACAACCAGAGATAGATTAAAACTGTTAGTCCAACAGAAGGGGCTCTTCCACATAGTTTATGTTATTTTACAGGTGGCTTTCTTCTGAGTGATATTTATTGAAAGACAAGTTGTGTTCAGATAAAGCTTACTTACTGCTTCATCCACAGGGTGCTTACTTAATGCTATCATCCTCCCCTGCCTCTTTCCTTACCTTGAACTGTAACCCCCTTTGCTTCTCTCCCACTCCCTGCTCTCTTCTTTGGAAACTCTGTGACAATATATTTTGCCAATGTCTTTGAATGACTGGAAGAAGAAGTAGTGGCCATTGGAGGTCAAAGTTCAGCCTTTATGCGTTGTCCGTCCTTGGTCCTTGGTTATGTCACAAACACAAAAGGACAACAGGAAGGGGAAACCATAAATGGTGAAAGCTGTTTACACAGTAACTGTTGCCATGGCACAAGCTCTTGTCTGTCCATAGTTAATGATTAGCTGAGATATGTAGTGGAGTGCTCCGTTAGCCAGCAGGGCACACTGGCCAGGGAACAGCCTCCTAGTTAGCATTCCACAGATTTGAGGAGGAGACCCATAGATAACCTAGAGAGTGTGTGTATGTATCTCAGAGTGTGTGTGTCTGATTTCATATGTTCATGTTTTTTGTCTGGTGTCCATGTTTCTCCCTACCAATTATCTTATTGTATCTAGTGTGAATACCTCCCCACCCCACCCCACGTAGCCACCACATCCACACACACTAAATACATTCCAGCATGATAAGCTATGGCATTCCATCCTCCCTGCATTAATAGTTTAGGGGAGTAGTTGAGAAGTGTGTAAGGGGAACATTTAAGAGAAGTAATCAGTCATTGCCTTACAGCATCCCCCAATGCTAACAGACTCCAGGTCAGTGATAACAATGACTCTCAGAGAGAACGAATCTCCACTCTGTCAGGCAGACAAATCCAGGATTAGGTGTATAGAGATGCATGCTGATGAATGTTAGGAGTGGGCTATAATATGGGCTAAAGCTGACTCAACATTACTGTAAGCATGGACATCTTTGAATGGAATGTACACTACCGGTCAAAAGTTTTAGAACACCTACTCACTCATTCAAGGGTTTTTCTTTATTTTTACTATTTCCTACATTGTATAATAATAGTGAAGACATCAAAACTATGAAATAACACATATGGAATCATGTAGTAACCAAAAAAGTGTTAAACAAATCAAAATATATTTTATATTTGAGATTCTTCAAATATCCACCCTTTGCTTTGATGACAGCTTTGCACACTCTTGGCATTCTCTCAACCAGCTTCATGAGGTAGTCACCTGGAATGCATTTCAATTAACAGGTGTGCCTTCTTAAAAGTTAATTTGTGGAATTTCTTTCCTTCTTAATGTGTTTGAGTCAATCAGTTGCGTTGTGACAAGGTAGGGGGGGTATACAGAAGTAGGTGTTCTAAAACGTTTGACCAGTAGTGTATGTCTAGAAAAAGAACACCACTTTAACATAAGGTTTTAATTACAATTGGCTGTAGGTAGTGTAATGCTAAAATGTATCTAATAGTTTACAGGTATGTGCTTGGAATGCTTTTGTCAGTGAATGTGTGTGAAAATTAGATACTTCTCTGCCCTGCCATGGGACTGAAGTACAGTGGAGAGAATTATGCCATGAACATTTGTCACATCTTTATCCCCCTCAGTCCTTCTCCCATCTGGGGTAAATTGTCCTTAGTGTGGATACTTTTCCAAATCTTTGTCATGTCAATAGCCAAACTGTTTTCTGTTCTCTCTCTCTCTCTCTCTCTCTCTCTCTCTCTCTCTCTCTCTCTCTCTCTCTCTCTCTCTCTCTCTCTCTCTCTCTCTCTCTCTGTGAGTGAGAGCAAGAGAGAATGTGTGTTTGAGATTGTCCCTCCCCAGAGTGGATTCATTTTCATAGCTCAGGGGTTTAGCCCAGAGCAGATTGAATTTGGCACCAATTGTAATCTGTGTGTGTGTATGAGAGAGAGAGAGAGAGAGAGAGAGAGAGAGAGAGAGAGAGAGAGAGAGAGAGAGAGAGAGAGAGAGAGAGAGAGAGAGAGAGAGAGAGAGAGAGAGAGAGAGAGAGAGAGAGAGCGAGAGAGAGAGAGAGAGAGAGAGAGAGAGAGAGAGAGCGATAAGGGCTCTGGATTATGTGGTGACAGCTGGATGTGAGATGCAAGGTCAGGAAGTCAGGGGTCTGGAGCTCTACATCAAGTTGCTACCAAATAATCTATACAATTTGACACAACCTTCCCTACAGGATCCATACAGTCCAGACCATGCGAGGAGCCAGGAGTGACCAGCACTGGGCCACCTACCACTGTGGCACCATAGCCTGTCTCAAACGCATACAACCCTACAACATCACCATGGTGGCAGCCATCTACCTGGAGAACCGTTAGATTACAGTTTACATGATAAGAGCCATGTCCATAAAGTTTGTGTGCTTTTTGCTTTTCCCTGGAAATAATATTGATATTCATAGTCTCTGAGTAGTCATAGAAAGTAGTGGAGGCTGCTGAGGGGAGGATAATAATGGCCGCAACTGAGCGAATGGAATAGTATTTGATACCATTCCACTCATTGCACTCCAGCCATTTCCACGCGCGCGTCCTCCACAATGAAGGTGCCACCAACCTCATGTGATAGAAAGTCGGTAATTCCCCAGCCAGGTTTACTTCTCCAGAGCGAACACTGACGCTAGATGATGCTGTTGCACCAAGATGTCTCACTCAATGGTCTTTACTTTAATGTATGTGTTTGTTAGGCCTACTCACTGGCTACACTGATACTGATCCTATAATGCCGAATTAATATGCTTAATGCGCAATTACGCATTTAGATTTTTTATTGGCTGAAAAATATATAATGGATAGAATAGGCTACAAATATTGAATTACTCTGCATTCAATTATATGATTAGGCTAGAGGTCAAATTTGAAATATATGGTGGAAAATTATCTACATATTTAGGCCAACTGCTCTCTAACATAATGTTATAACATTGCCATGTTCTCTCCTATCCAACGTTGCTTTCCTCTCCCTCTCCTCTTAATGAGGTAGGGTATGCTAACCCTTTATATAGACTATGCATTATTGCTACACTTATTCCTGCTAATGCGTCAAGGGATTCGGGGTAATGAAACAACAGTTTAAAACGGTAACCCTCCTATCTATTTTCTACGCGGGATAAAGGCATCATTTTACACGGGCTACTCTGCAACCCTCATAAAGTCGTAAATTATGTCCAATTCACATCACCGACAGAATTCAGTCAAAGGCCCTTATCTTGGATAAATATTTACTTCCCTGGGTTACGGCCCAGGAACAGACAAAAGCATCCCTGTCCTTTAGGCTTTAGGCTACACGGAATAAATGTAAGCAACAAAAACACATTCGGCCCAGTCGAATTGGTTTGGTGTAAACACTCCGGACAAACGAAGCAACCCAGAGAACTCGCTCTTTATGCATATATTACACACGACAGATGAAGGAATACAATTGTTTGCTCACACATCTATCTAGGCCCATGATAAAACTTGTTCACTGCCCACACAGAAAATGTAGCCCGAGGGTTGCGTGATTTTGAAAAGGGTGCTACCCAAGTGTGCTCGTTTTCTGCGCTCATTAGGACGTACGTAAACAGCTCACAGGGGATCCCCGCTCTTAAAATAACAGAGGTGAAGACACCAGATTTATGCTTTGTTTTGCTTTGCGCTAGGTTTACAGACACCTCTCTCAAGTATTTCCGCTAAGTTCAACCTTAGTGTTCACCTTGCAGGGATATTACCTTATTCGATTGAAAAATGTTTTAAAAGTTTTAGTTTGAATGCAAAGAAAAAAGGTTTAATACAATGTATGTAAAACGTGTGTAATTGTCATCCATTTTATACAAATTAGGTCTACTTGGTATGGCTATAGCCATTCAAAGTAAATCCAAAGTAATTTAGAAGTATAGGTTTTTCATTCATAAAGTGATGTCAGTTTGATTCCATGTTTGTGATAGGTCCGTTGCTGGTTTTGGCTGGTCTCTGGTTGGTTTTTTATTTGTTGGGGTTGTGATATCCAGGAGGAGTGGCTGGTTATCGGAGTGCTCCTTGGGAGAGCGCAGAGACAGAAGTTCGCACCAGTTTGCCTACCAATTCAGTCGGAGTCTCAATAGCAGCCGCACCGCAGGGGACGGACGCGCTGCCAGAACTCAGGATACCTACCCACTCAGATTCTGAAACAAGGCTCAACCCTCCAGAACTGCCACCACGCACCAGACCTGTAATCCGATTGCCACCACACAAGAACTGACTCAAGGAATCTATTGGACACTGAAAAGGACAACTGTATTGTCTTTTTTCTTCATTTGTTAATTTTTTTTATTGTGGTCTCAGAATTGTTGCGCTGGTTAGGAAAAGCAACATATTCATACAACTTTCCAACTCTTTTCATCATCCCTAAATCTGAAAGGTAAGACGCTCATTCACAAAATATGTTATATTTATCCGTGGCTCCCATGATCTCTGTTTTATATAAATATCCCATGAAGTAGCCTAAACTTATGATAGCCAAACCACATCGATTGAAAACGCTGCTTCGGGCAACATGCTTGCGTTTTTGTAACAGCCTAGTCTACTCTATATGGTTTGTGGAGCGCTTTTTGGAGAGAGTGAGACAGTTCCATCAAAAATAAAAACAGAGAGGGACTCTCCGAATAAAGAACGCTTGCCTTTGAAAAGTCTGCCAGATAGAGGGGAAGGGCTTTTGTGGTTTACAACTCCGGGAAGTTAAGGTTATCAAACACATTTCAATCAAGCCCGGGCTCGCATGCTCTTTAAATTTGGTTCCCTTAGTTTGGCTGTGGCCTCTATTTCACTTGGCACGATGAATGTCGCGTAAAAAGGATGCACTTTTGAGGGAGTTGAAAAGGACACGCGGAGGGAAGTGTCCACGGGCTCGGGGCTCTGGGTCTGAGGCGCCCTGCTTTGTGCTCAGAACGGGGTTCCCATGCTCTCAGGGGTGACGGAGCACCCTCCAAAGCCGCCAGACGCAATTCACCAATATGCGTTCTCGCCCCATTCTATAGTGCGTGGCATACATTCTCTTCACTTGCCCTTTTTATAGTGGTGCTTGCCGATACAACATGCACACATGTTGGGAGGATTTGTGACTAAATGGGACATACGTTTTTGGAATAGTTTTCCTCCACCCTGTGCGAGCCCCCGCACCTGCGCTATAACGGCTATCCTGCTCTGATTACTCTCTCACACACGTATACTCACATTTGGAGACCTTTAAAAATCCTCTTCAATTTAAGACAAACTACTGCATATTGAAATGTATGAAAAGCAGCAAACAATTATTTTTTGTTAAATTTTTTTGATAATTTATCATATTATTCCTCTCTTATTAACTTGTCTATTTCAATGTTTTTTTAGACAGACATTTATTTGAGTAGTAATAATATATTTTTGATTGATAAAAAGTGTTATTCGTTTATAAATTATTTGTATAAATTAAATTTGTTATGAATTTTACGGAAGGAAATCAGAAGGTAAGGAATTCCAAGTTCTGCGCTTCCGTTATTCACCTTGTTTTTTTTCAGCTGCAGTCCCCATTGGGCTCAGGAGTATAATGAGAGACAGACTCAGAATGGGAATTTGAATAACTGTTTTCAGTAGCAGAGAGAAGCCACTCTGCCTCCCGTACTTTCTCAGGAGAATGAATCATGAACAAAAGTCTGAAAATGGGAAAGTCTGTGTTGCATACCGTAACTAAACCGTGATTTGCATATGAAAACTCTGTGCTGAAAGAATTCCGCCAGTGTTGCTGCTGCCATTTATGCGTCCGGAGAAGTGACGAGCTGCAGTGTATATACAGTCTCCTTCTCGTTGCCTTTGCTTTGTGCGGACCGCTGGAGTGGGATGTCACGTCCAGAGTCGTTACTGGAAGATTAAGGACATAGCGACAGGTTTTTATTCCCTTCATTAAACTATTCATTATATCCACACCCTCTCCCTGTGTCCAAAACATTCACTCTGCAAATCCCTCATTATGCCTCCTCAAATGGACACAAGCAGAGGCAGTGCCCTCAGACTGACAGATCTCTCTCGTGAAGAACGGGTCTGTGCTCTCTGCCCAGCAGAACATAATGGAGACATGATTGACTCATTTCCCACGATGCTGTTCTATGCCCTTATCGTTGATATGCTGATGGGCAGAGAGTGGACCACTTCTTTCCCATGGGGCTTTTTGTGGGCTAATCTTGTGTGCTCTTCCCTTTAGTCACAATGACAGCAATGAAGTGCACATCAGTCAAAGGTGCGCCCCTCATTTGAATGGCTCATTTGTTGTGCAGTAATAGAAAGTGCCCTATGACCTGACCCGCTCCACCAAGCAACATTCCAGGATGCTGTGCTAACTGCTGCCTCACTCAGAGATGGACCACAAAACAGAAGAGAGAGAGAGGCAGGCAGGGATGGAAAATAGGCTCCCCTTTCTGAACACGCTATTGTCCCAGCAGCAGCATAACCTTTGTGGGCTGATGATGATGATGTGGATGGTTTAGAGACAGAATGTGAGTAATGATGTAGACTTATACACACTCTGGGTGAGAAGAGTTGGACGGTTTAGAAGACACACACAAACAGAGAAACTCACATTGTGCGCAGACAAATGTTCTGCCCCTGGACCGGAGCCCTAAACCACAGTCTCTATCAATTCATTAATGAGCTGTTTGGCTCTCCAAGAGCACCAGACGTGCTCTGGGTTTGGCTCGCCATCAGAATGGGCCCAGGTTATATGTGGTTGGTTCCATCTCAGCCTCTGAGCCCTCAGCCCTGCCTGTCTGTATCCCCAATCCCCTGGTTGGCCCTGAAGTGACAGCACAGCAGTGATGGAGTCTGCTACTGAAGACCTACCGACTGTAAACCTGCCTTCAGAGCAGCTTTAAGAAATCAAACAAAGGCTCCAGGTCCTGTGAGCCCTGCCAGGCATCTCGTTGGGGGGAATCTTAAATGTCTCTTTATTTGTGTTGAAATTAAAGTGTATTTTCTTCCCTCCCGTCCTGCTAATGCGCTCCATGTGGGAGCCGGCAGGAGGTTTACCCGTCCTGACAGGGAGTTATGGAGCTGGGGATGGGAGGCTGGAGGGAGGATGGGGTTGGGACTGCGGCTGGAGGGAGACAGGGCGACCCAGAGAAGACATTGGAGGGATGGAGAGATGGAGGGGGGATGTGATAGTGTAGAGGTAGTCGGGTGGCTGGTGTACACGTCGCACAGACACTGGCAGGCACGCACGCAGACACGCACACACAATCTTATTTTACATACACATGCTTATACATTCACACACACACGAGCACATTCATATACACACGCACACAGAGGCCCTCACACACTCTCCACATGGGTCTTTCATGTTGGACAGTTGGAGGGCAGAACTTCTGCAGGGCCATGTGAATGACAGGCGTAAACTGCTCTGTTGTGCATACATGTTCTCTGTCACTCAGAAACACTGATTACATGTGCTAGTCATCAGGCTGTGCTGGGCTGGCTTTACATTGACTGACTGACTTCTGGAATACCAGCTTAAACACACACACTGACTCACCAACTGATCTCAAACAGCACACACATATAAACACATTCATAAACAAACACCTACATCCTTCAACCAAACTGACCACACACAATGACTTCTTTATCATGTAATACATTTAGTTTGTTTAATGTATGGATTGATTGAGACATAAAAATGGTATCCACAAGTTCATCTGACTCTGGGGAAGTAGATAAAGAGCCTCATTGCCAACATCCAGAAATATCCCATTAATATTATTATCTGGCTAAGTTGTCATTCACATAGTTCTGGTAAAGGCATGATAAAGACACAGGGTAAACACTGGTTCATTTGTTGTTGTCGTAGGAATTCAGGCGGAACTAACTGTCATTGTAAAGTTATATCATTTACATTTACATTTAAGTCATTTAGTAGACGCTCTTATCGTTATTACTTAGTTATTACCATGGGTTATACAGTTGAACTGTGACAGACTTTTATTTCCATCATTAATATCTTAATTATGCTTTGTGCACCTAACCTGTTCAGTATTATCCTTACCCCCCCCCCCCCCCCCCCCCCCCCCCCCCTACCCTCAAGCTGCCACAACTTACCATTTATTATGCATTAGACTTTTTCTTTAACAACCAAAAGAGCTTCATGTTTTGAACAAAGTTCCAGTCGGAGTGAAACTGAAAAATAAATGAATATATAAATAAATAAAAAACGGCAGCAAAACAAAGTTGACACGATTGTGGCCGGCTCTGCCTTCAAATTATCCTCCCCCCAAATTACTATCATACATTCTCCCTCACTCTAATTAAACATTAGGCTTTATTTGTTCCAGATGCAGCTTTTTTGAAGTTTTATTTTGGTAACGGGAGCTAACTCGATGGCCTGCGAATGGTAGAGGCAGGCTTGCAGTCTCATGCATGCACAAACAATCCAGATTCCAGCCTGTATGACCCCGACATACTGCCTGTGCTGCACCACACAACCTCAAGGTCCAGACATTAGCACAGTCAAATCCAACTGTTTTAATGTGCAGGTGTCATCTTTCAGTGATGGCTCATACATGGGATCTGAGTCTGGATAGAGGAACGTAGCATTTAGTGGTAACGCTTTTCAGACTTGGGATACTGCAGCACTTTGACCAACTCAAACCCAAGCCATTAGTTTGAATCAGTAATACCACACACGCTGGGCAAGTTGCTTATATTGGAAACAGCACATCAAGTGCATGTTGGGTTATGCCAAAACATTTCGCAAGCAAATCTGCTGGACGATACCACACTAATTAATCATTGAGAGCGCACATATCCCGTATCTGATGACATCCGTCCAGTAGTGTCATTACGTGGGCTTGGTGCAGCAGGGACTGGGGCCTCTGGGAGCCTATGTGCTCTGTTTTGGGGCTGAATAGTGAGAGACAACTCTGTAGAGCTCTGTACATACCACCTCAGGGCTGTCTCGAGTATTAATAGACATGTCTTTGTTCCGCCCGACACGCTTCTGAAGTGGAATAAGACAAGCTGAGATAAGGATCTCCTCTCTGGGAGTCAAATCTCAAAGTACCACTTAAAAGGCTTTCCTTCACCTCTCTGAAGCCTGGCTGGATGATGGGAGGCTCAGCTCAGATACGAGAGGACTGAAGGGAAAAATTGACACAGCTGTCAAGGGCTTTTCTCTGGCTTGTGTTTTAAAAGGAGGACAATGTAGTAATGAAGCCATGTTTGTAGCATGGAAGCATGTCCAGCTTTGGGTTCTCTGGTTTGACTTATCTGTCTCTCCAGAGGGAGGGAGGAATGAGAGGATGTCTGTTTGACAAGGACAGAAAGAGGGAGGGATAGAGATTATATGTGTGTGCAAGAGGCAAAGATGAGCTATATATGCAAGAGAAAAATAGATGGAAAGCTAAGGTGGAAAAGAAAGAGGGAAAGAGAAAAGGAGGGCAAGGAGGAGGGAGAGAGGGGTTATTAAAAGGACACACTCTCACTTGCAGTAAATGGCAGTAAAGTATCTGGCTAATCTGCCATCATTATCCTGATCAAATCACCAGGGATTTGGCTTTCCCATCAGCTGCAATCAATGTGGCCAAATCAATAGACAGAGGATATCTGAGTGTTCCTGAGCCTCAGTGAGTTGCAAAGACCTGTGTACTGAGCCACGTCCCATAGCCGTGGGGATATCTACTGAACAGTACAGTGTAGCGGCTGGTGCCAATCTCTCCTCCTCTTCTATCCCCATAAATCTAGTTTCTCTGACCTTAGGGAAGCCTTCTCACACTAGCCACTGTTTTTCTCTTGATCTTCTCCCTCTTTCTGGTCCAAAGTGTCTTCTCTCTTTTTGTCTGCCTTCCACTTCCTCTCTTTTTCCAAGAGATGGGGCCTCTCTCTGTCCATCTCTGTCTCTCACTTTCCTCTCTTTGGCAGCGTGTTACTGGTTTCCCTTCCATTCTGATAGACTTAACAGGCAAAACTGGAAGTACATTTTCAAGTTCTTCTTCCAAGTATTGATTGAAAGATTTCCAATATTCACTACTATGGCGTTTCTAACATGAATTATGCTTGTTCTGACGGTCCTGCATATCTGCTTTGTGTGTTACAGGAGGATGAGGCTGTGTTTTGGACCTCAGGGCTGGCCTCTGGCCCTGGCTCTAATGCTGGGGGTTGTAGTGGGCCAGAAGCTGCCCACGCGAGATGAGGGCCTGTTTCAGATGCAGATCAGAGACAAGACCCTGTTCCACGATTCCTCTGTCATCCCAGACGGAGCCGAGATCAGTGGATATCTGTTCAGGGACACGCCCAAAAGGTAACGAGTTTAGGTCTATATAAATACAGCCATCACTATCAACAACCATTACCAACATGTAGGTTGACTGCTCCAAACATATACATGTACTGAATGTCTTATTTTACCAAATGCATGAGACCAGATTGTGTATTGATCGAAAACAAACAGTGTTGTAGCCTTCCCACATTAAATAGCACTGTAGGCTCTGTATGACGACTTATGGCAAATGGATGCATGGGGAATATGGAATGCATTGTGATGTATACTAGTATGAGGAAATGCATTGTAGATGAGAAGGAGATGTTCATGTGATTTAGGTAATGCCTGCTGATAGAGACCCAGGTCATTAGCATTCCATAGAGTGACCATAGACTCAGTGTGTAGGATGGTTTTAGTAGTTAACCTTGTAGTTAACCCTGCATTCTGTTGGATCCCTGTCATTTACCTGGGCACTACTTCTTGTTTGTGAAGGTACTACTTTGTGGTGGAGGAGGACAACACCCCGCTGTCTGTGACGGTGACACCATGTGATGCTCCTCTGGAGTGGAAGCTAACTCTGCAGGAGCTGCCTGAGGAGGCCAGCGGAGAGGGATCTGGTAAACACAAATTATATGGGAATTTACATAAATATGATTTATGGAATTATTAGCTAATGTAAATCAGGCTATTACAATACTTACATTGTAAAACGTGTGAAATATATAACAAGTACATAAACAATTATCTCAGTAAATCATCATGATGAACATGAACTAACAGCAACATCAACATTTGATTGATATGCTTTTGAATAAAATAAGAACGACTTTGTACATTTTGTTGTGGTTGGGCCGCGTTGGTGGTCGGCTTTTTTGGTGTGGTTGTGATATGGTTATTAACTAACTAGTGACACAGTGTCTGAACTGACCACACTGAAGTCTGAATTGACCACACATCTGTAGTCTGTGAAAAGGGCACAGCGCTCTGAGTAGAACAGACTGCCCTTGGCTGGCTGGTTGGCAGGCTGGCATACAAACACAGTGTATGAGTAAAGAGTTTAGAATGTGATTAAGCCTTCCTCGTTCCTCCCCCATAAACATCTTTAGATAGCTAGGTACAATAACCCCCCTTGTCCATTCCTAACGTATACTCCCTTTGTCCTCCAAAGGGAAGACTCTCTCTCTCTCTCAACCCTCTCATTCTCACACACTCGGTCACTCTCTCTCCATCTGGACAGTATCTTAGAAACACAAGAAATCAATCAACTCCCTCAAGCCCAGTCCCATTAGAGCCCAGACATGGACTGCAGCGGTGGTTTTATAGTGTGCATATGTGAGGGTGTGAAAGTACATGTGTGCACGTGTAGAACTATATAGGTGTGCATGTGTCTGTGCCAATGAATAAATGGGCTCCTTGCCTGATACCACCTGCTTTTTTGATGTTCATTCACTGTCCTAATATATTATAGAATAGAGACTAAATACTGTAACACAGTTAATCTCCAATATGTGCTACACATGGCAGCTTAACATAGACCAAGCAGCCATTCACATAGGCTGAAGGTGATGTGTGAGTGGAGCACTAGCCGTCAGGATTGCATTCGTTTCCAGTGAACGCTGTAAATACACAAATGCACAACCTCTCTGTCTGTTCATATGTTTGCTCCTCTCTTTGCTGAATGTCTCGGCTTCGGATCGGATCTTTTAGCATTAATTTAGAACACCGTTGAGCCCACTCTCTGGTTGACAAGCATAATATTATGTTTCCTTGCTCAGCTGAAATAAGGCCTGAGACCGACTCCCTCATGGATAGGCTACAAGGTGCCTCTTTGTAGCATAGCTTCACAAGTTCCCAGGAAGGGCCAAGTGAATACCAGCCTGGGATTTTTGGGGATGTTTAGAGTGAAAACATGGTCGCTGGCTCGTGAGGGGCTAATCGTCCGTGTGGCTCGGAGAGAGCTTTACCATGACCTCAACAGGATCAACACATTAAACGGGTCATTTTTAGCCACCTGTGGAAATTACTTTACTTCAGGGCCCGAAAAAATTTAATAAAATAAACATTAGGGGAGGTTAGCAAAAAATATCTCAGGAGATGATGGGGTTGCTGTGATATGAAAGGAACTCATGTTAAGTCTTCCTGTGTGTTTTCCAGGTGAGCCAGAGCCCCTGGACCAGCAGAAGCAGCAGCAGGTGACAGTAGATGAGGGCACAGAGCTCTTCTCCTACAAGGGGAATGATGTGGAGTCCTTCGTGGCCACCAGCTCTCCCTCTGGCCTCTACCAGCTGGAGATGCTCTCCACAGAGAAGGACAGCAATTTCAAGGTGTACGCCACCACCACCCCAGAGTCTGACCAGCCCTACCCCGAGCTGCCCTACGATCCCCGGGTGGACATCACCGCCCTGGGCCGGACCACTGTCACGCTGGCCTGGAAGCCCACTCCTACGGGCGTTCTGATGGGCCAGCCCGTCCAGCACTGTGTGGTCATCAACAAGGAGCACAACTTCAAGAGCCTGTGTGCTGCCGAGGCTAAGATCAGCGCTGACGATGCCTTCATGGCCGCTCCAAAGCCAGGCCGGGACTTCAGCCCCTTTGACTTTGCTCACTTTGGCTTTGTCCCCTCAGACAATAACTTAAACCGAGGTCTCACCAGCAACAAGATCTCCCGCTCCTACACAGCCAAACCCAAAGCCTCTGACATTCAGAAAGTCTGCATTGGCAACAAGAACATCTTCACCGTGTCGGACCTGAAGCCGGACACTCAGTACTACTTTGACGTGTTTGCTGTGAACTCTGCCACCAACACCAGCACCGCCTACGTGGGCACCTTCGCCCGCACCAAGGTGGAGGCTCAGCAGAAGACGGTGGAACTGAAGGACGGCAAAGTGTCCGACGTCTTCATCAAGAGGAAGGGCAGTAAGTTCCTGCGCTTCACCCCAGTCTCCTCCCACCAGAGGGTCACTCTGTTCGTGCATGCCTGTCTGGACTCTGTTCAAGTGCAGGTGAGGCGTGACGGCAAGCTGCTGCTCTCCCAGAATGTGGAGGGAGTACGGCAGTTCCAGCTGCGAGGGAAGCCCAAGGCCAAGTACCTGATCCGTCTGCGAGGCAGCAGGAAAGGAGCGTCCACCCTGAAGGTTTTGGCCACCACAAAGCCCAGCAGCAAGCAGCCCTTCCCATCGCTACCCGAGGACACACGCATCAAGGCCTTCGACAAGCTGCGTACCTGCTCCTCTGCCACTGTGGCCTGGCTGGGAACGCAGGACCGCAACAAGTTCTGTGTCTACAAAAAAGAGGTGGCCGAGAGCTACGGCGAGGAGCAGCGGCGCCGTGAGCAGAACCAGTGTGCCGGGCCCGAGACGCGCAGGAAGTCAGAGAAGGTCCTCTGCAAGTACTTCCATAGCCCCAACCTGCAGAAGGCCGTTACCACGGAAACCATCACAGGGCTGGAGCCGGGCAAGACCTATCTGCTGGACGTTTATGTGGTGGGCCACAGCGGTCACTCAGTCAAATACCAGAGCAAACTGGTGAAAACGAGGAAATACTGCTAAAAGACTGCACAGAATAAATCTATTATAAATATATATATTAAAAAAGTTTTATTTAACTCTAAGTGATATTCTACTAAGGAGTGTATACAGACTGATTACTCACACAGTTGATGGGCCTGTGGCAGAGACTTAACTGTTTGCAGAAAGAGATATCAACCTGTATATTTATGTTTACATTTCATTGTTGGCACATTTTTGGGCGATTCATAGGTGAGAGGTGCTCTGTTGCCTGTGCTTGGGGTCCCAGAATCTCGTTGCCAACAGGGAGACTTCAGAGCTTCAGAGAAGAGACTGTTTCATCTTGTGCATCTCTCTGTCGCTGCATGACTCTTGCGTTCCTCTGTCAAAATTGTTTGTTACTTCAGTTTCAATTTACGTTGACCTGCAGAGATACAATAGCTACCAGCCATGTATAGTTCTCTCAGTGCATTATTCACATTTAGGAGAGATTTAAATTATTTTATACTTCTTTGCCTCTTTTGGTTTGATTGTTTGTTTTTATTGATCATGATGACTATTACTGTTATGAAGAAATAATTCAAATTCTATGAGGAAATTGTCATTGTGGAGACATTCCGTTGTGTAACTCAGCCAGTGTGCGCTCTAGAGCCTGTCTGTAAATGTGTTCTGTGCTGGAGGTCTGTGTGTTACCACTGTATCGCTGTGTGTGTCACATGTACAGAGTTGTCCTGCCAATATTCATGTACATAAACACTAAATATAGAACAAGTAATCCCTGTGTCACCCTGGGTGTCATGTTCTTCTGTGGGCTAGTTAACATCAGATACTGTAGATATATGGAGGGTGTCAGGCAGCACTGCAGCAGTGTATCAGCAGAAAGGAGACTATACAGTGCCTATAGATTTTACATTAGGCTTAAGTTATGTCCATGTACACATAACATGACCCTTGATATAAATGATTACTGACATAAGAAAAATTTCCCATGGACATACAGTACCAGAGTGAATGGGACTGCCAGAGTGAAGTATTTGGATGAACTTATTTGAATATTGGTAAATGTTGTCATATGCCAGGTGTCAAAAGTTGTCAAAGGTAGTCTACACCGGTACAACGTAGAACTATTGTCACATCAGTGTCTGCAATCGTTTCGTGTTTACATGTGTTTTAGGATGTAGGGTAACAGTTTTAACCACACACACTTGCCACATGTAAGAGATGAGGAGGAGTTCAGCAAGACACACACCGACACAGACCCGATCACACACACATCCACACATTGTAATTAAGAGTGGTCACAGTTGAGTGGAAAAGTCCTGACTGTTGTGGTTAAGACAAACAGCTGTTTCTTGTGAATCTCCATGTTTCCATCACAACCCGATTCTGAGCAGTAACGCTCAGATTCTCCACCACAACTCCCTGTCAATCAAACGACCCCGTTCAGAGGAAGCGTAGAGGAGGCTCCACCTGGCTTACATTAACCTGCTGTTGCCCTGGAATAATGTGGAGCTCCCAGAGAGCTGTGGGAATGTCATGGATAGGCCTGTAAACTCCTACTAATAAAGCCAGTCAGTAGGGACTGCTAGTGCTATGCTCTGAGGGTCAACACACTCATGAATAAGGTCTGAATGGAAGTAGATGGAGTTTTAATGAAGCCAAGGCCCTCCTTCATTGTCTCCATACTAGTCACTTAGGAAGCACAAATAAAAACTCAAATTTTCTTCTTGATATACACTCATCTGGAGCTCACGGGCGAGAGATGCTGCTCTCTCTCTTCTCTCTCTCTCCAGTTAATGTCACCTCTCTCATATCTTACTGACACCTACCATGACACCTACCCTCTTTCCATTTACTGTAACAAGCATCCTCACCCACTGAGCACCAACCGACACCAGACGTCCATGGACGTTGAAAAGTAGTTGAAATTTGGTCAGTCCGCCCTAGCTGAACAAAACCTGAACCAATCATGGAAGTCTATGTTTCACAAGTTTACAGTACAATACAGTACAGTACAGTACAGTAAAGTAAAGTAAAGAAAAGTAGACTACGTTATTGTAGAGTAGAGTTCAGTAAAGTAAAGTACAGAAGAGCACACTAAAGTAGAGTACAGTATAATGTGCAGTATTACACTGTACTCTACTGTACTGTACTGAACATATCTACTTTACTGTACTCTACTGTACTGTATTGTACTGTACCACATTTGGTTGGTCTACTCTACTATGAGTAAAGTAGATGTGCTGTGCTGCACTGTACTCTACTCTACTGTGCTCTACTGTGATGTCCAAACTTGTGAAACATAGAGGTCTATGACTGTTACAGATTTGGTCGGTCTGGACCAACCAAATGTGGTTTTGTTTGGGGGCAGAGCTCATTACAATAATAGCCAGTGTGTTGAATAACACCCAATAATACCCAGGAAGATAATGATATTCATATCCATAATTATGCATTTTTGTATAGTTCAGATCAGGGACCCATGTTGTAATTCCATTACGTAATTACTTTACCATGTAAATCCAATTCACCTACTGTACTGTAGTTCAATAACCAAAATAAATGTCTTCAAATTCAAGGTGTCATGTCATAGCTGACACATCATTCTTTCTGCAGACATCTTTGAATCTTAATTCAGAGCAGATATTTAAAAGATGTTTTGACAAATGTGGTCACATAAAAAACGGATGGAGATACCCTAATTCTATCACCAAACTTTGCATCTGCACAGTTATTCCAGTAAATGTGTTTTTGTGACATTTTCTGTGTAAGTTGTTCAAAGTATATACAGTGGGGGAAAAAAGTATTTAGTCAGCCACCAATTGTGCAAGTTCTCCCACTTAAAAAGATGAGAGATGCCTGTAATTTTCATCATAGGTACACGTCAACTGTGACAGACAAAATGAGAAAATAAAATCCAGAAAATCATATTGTAGGATTTTTAATGAATTTATTTGCAAATTATGGTGGAAAATAAGTATTTGGTCAATAACAAAAGTTTCTCAATACTTTGTTATATACCCTTTGTTGGCAATGACACAGGTCAAACGTTTTCTGTAAGTCTTCACAAGGTTTTCACACACTGTTGCTGGTATTTTGGCCCATTCCTCCATGCAGATCTCCTCTAGAGCAGTGATGTTTTGGGGCTGTCGCTGGGCAACATGGACTTTCAACTCCCTCCAAAGATTTTCTATGGGGTTGAGATCTGGAGACTGGCTAGGCCACTCCAGGACCTTGAAATGCTTCTTACGAAGCCACTCCTTTGTTGCCCGGGCGGTGTGTTTGGGATAATTGTCATGCTGAAAGACCCAGCCACGTTTCATCTTCAATGCCCTTGCTGATGGAAGGAGGTTTTCACTCAAAATCTCACGATACATGGCCCCACACATTCTTTCCTTTACACGGATCAGTCGTCCTGGTCCCTTTACAGAAAAACAGCCCCAAAGCATGATGTTTCCACCCCCATGCTTCACAGTAGGTATGGTGTTCTTTTGATGCAACTCAGCATTCTTTGTCCTCCAAACACGACGAGTTGAGTTTTTACCAAAAAGTTATATTTAGGTTTCATCTGACCATATGACATTCTCCCAATCCTCTTCTGGATCATCCAAATGCACTCTAGCAAACTTCAGACGGGCCTGGACATGTACTGGCTTAAGCAGGGGGACACGTCTAGCACTGCAGGATTTGAGTCCCTGGCGGCCTAGTGTGTTACTGATGGTAGGCTTTGTTACTTTGGTCCCAGCTCTCTGCAGGTCATTCACTAGGTCCCCCCGTGTGGTTCAGGGATTTTTGCTCACCGTTCTTGTGATCATTTTGACCCCACGGGGTGAGATCTTGCGTGGAGCCCCAGATCGAGGGAGATTATCAGTGGTCTTGTATGTCTTCCATTTCCTAATAATTGCTCCCACAGTTGATTTCTTCAAACCAAGCTGTTTACCTATTGCAGATTCAGTCTTCCCAGCCTGGTGCAGGTCTACAATTTTGTTTCTGGTGTCCTTTGACAGCTCTTTGGTCTTGGCCATAGTGGAGTTTGGAGTGTGACTGTTTGAGGTTGTGGACAGGTGTCTTTTATACTGATAACAAGTTCAAACAGGTGCCATTAATACAGGTAACGAGTGGAGGACAGAGGAGCCTCTTAAAGAAGAAGTTACAGGTCTGTGAGAGCCAGAAATCGTGCTTGTTTGTAGGTGACCAAATACTTATTTTCCACCATAATTTGCAAATAAATTCATTAAAAATCCTACAATGGGATTTTCTGGATTTTCTTTTCTCAATTTGTCTGTCATAGTTGACGTGTACCTATGATGAAAATTACAGGCCTCTCTCATCTTTTTAAGTCGGAGAACTTGCACAATTGGTGGCTGACTAAATACTTTTTTCCCCCACTGTATATATATGCCATTTAGCAGACGCTTTTATCCAAAGCGACTTACAGTCATGCGTGCATACATTTTTGTGTATGGGTGGTCCAGGGGATCGAACCCACTATCTTGGCGTTACAAGTGCCGTGCTCTACCAGCTGAGCTACAGAGGACCACAGAGGACCACAAAGTAGTCCTTCTGCATAGAGTTGTTTGGTTTGTTAAACTTTTAAATGTGCTAAATGGTTTTTGTTTGGCATACATTTTTAAGTAAAACATCGGAGTCAAAGTGTAATTCTGTCTGGTGGGCGGTGTATGTTTGTTTTTTAACATAGTAATGATCGTGGAGCTTTGATCTGTGTGTTATGTATATATGCAGCTGAATGAAGGGTGGAGACATCCATGCCACTACAGGTATGGTAGAATGACTAGACTTGTGCGCCAAAGACCAAGCTTTGATCCTTGGCCAGGGTTAGCATGACTTGCCTGCCCCTCAAATTCACTATGCTGGTGTCGGAAGTTACCTAGGCCAGTGTGAGGCATGGCAGACTGCTCTGGTGCAAGGGCCAGTTTAACAATCATAGGACTGCTAGTTGAGCACAAATGCAGCAGATATAAACTATAATATATTGTCAGAGAAACAATTGCTATGGGGTGTATTATGTTAGATGTATA